GGTGAGTACGGTGGAGTGAGGGGGGGGAGGGGGAGGAGTGGCTGACCCCCACCCCGCCTTAGCCTGCCGAGCCTCTGGGGGCTCTTCTCCGGAGGGTGTGGGGGCCCTTTTGCCAGGTTCCGGTGGGAGCCGCCCCCCGCCCGCCTCCCCAGCCGGCGGCACTCACCTGCCACAAGTTCCCTTTCGCCTTGGTGATCTTGCAAATGGCCACCACCGGGATCCAAATAAGGCAAAAAATGATCATGCACCAGCCGATGCCGGTGCCCCACCCCGGGTATTTTGTTTTGCCATACTTGGGGGGTTCAAAAGTGATCAGGGACCAGATCAAGATGGTCTGTTTTAGAGAAAGAGGAGGGAGAGGAATGAGACTCAGAACAGCACAGAGGGAGGCCGAAGCACGCTTCTCTTCCAGACGTGTTGGGCTCTAACCACCATCACCCTCAGCCAGCGTCTCCTATACAAGGCACTCTGCTTCTCTGATGGTTGAAAAAAAGCCTAAAGGAGCCACAATCTGCCAGCTTTACCTTTTGAACTTCTGGCTGCTTGGATGTGGGAAGGAGCAGATAACAACCCAGTTTATCAGCGCTTCATGGGTCTCCGGCTGAAAGTCAGAGCTTAACTGCTTCCTCTTTTTTTTTTTTTGGGCGGGGAGGCAAGCAGGTAGCTTTTCCCCTGCAAACTTGGCCAGCAGTTACCTGTGTATTTGCTGAACCTCTCCTAGCCCAGGACTCTGGTTTTCAGAGTAAACACCCCCAGCAAAGGGACAGCTGCCCTTTGGCACCCAGAGAATGGCCCGTGGGACTCTTTGTCCTCCACTAAAGTTTGCCCAGCATCAAAGACAAAGCCCTCTGTGGACTTGCGGGGGGAGGGAGGGGGCACCCAGCCAGGGTCCAAGATAGCCGTTCCTTCTTCCTCCAGAAGTGCTCGGTCATTTAGGGAGAGGAACTTCACAGAAGGATGGGTAACAATAGCAGAGATTATTCTCCCCTGCCAGCACTCCGGGCCTCTGCTCTTTCAGTCTTGCACACCTTGGTTTTCTTCCAAGTCTGCTGGTCACGGGTGGTTTTGTTTTACTTAGAAAATTATTGGCACTTGCAGAACAACGTCCTTAGAAGGAACAGGAGCTGCTGTTTTGGGGAAGGCGTGTAGTTTTATAAGAATAATAGGCCTTCCAGCCCCATGGGACGTCTTTGGACTTTCCAAAGCTTCCCCACTCAAAGCAGTTGAAGTCTATGGGCTACTTACGAGCAAGAGGCAAGGCGTGATGAAAAACCAGCAGGTTCTCCACCACACCCAGAAGAGGAAGCTTTTCTTCCCAATCATCATCTCGATGTCTTCAATAAACCGGTTTCCTCCTGCATAAAACCAGCCACACATGCCGTGGAGTTAGTGCTGCGTCTGAGCGCGGCCTTGGCAACAGGGCCTCTGGTTCCCAGAGTTATCCCCAGCATGGGTTCAATTCATTTTGCCTGACGCCTGGCCAAAAATGAGTTGTGCCTCTTGAACATTGGGGTCTGGGCTCAAACACCCATTTGCTCCAGATGCCTCCCCATGGGCTAAACCTCTGCAGGACATCCCACTGGAAAAGTTTGGAACTGAGTCTCAGGAAGGAAAAGGAGCTTCCTTTTGCTTGCTGCCTGGTTTAAACCTGGGATGTTTCCCCTTTTAATTTATTTTTGCAGCAAAGCAGTTGCTCTACCAAGTGTCACCGACAAGGATGCCTGTCACAGGATTGAAGCATTTCAGAATGCTTCAAAAGCATTTGAAGTTAACCATTGTTTGTCCTGTTCATCAAGAGGAGGTTGAAATGATGCTAAAAGTCCAATTGCCCTCAGCGTTTTGGAGTGGTGGGAGGATTGGGGGTGTTGGAGGATATCCCAGGAAATATTTACCATAAATCCAGCAAATTCCCACCAGTTCAAGGATAGCTGCAAAGAGGATACCCCAGCCTGCACAGAAATGGTCCACCAAGTTGACCCAGTAGATTCCTGCCTGTGGGAGCAGAGGAGAAAGGGGTGACCTGTTGTCCCTTGGCCCCAATAGAAGGCTCTCCATTTTCCCTGGTCGGCTTCTGACGCTCAGCATAGGAGAGTGTTGGAAGCAGTTACGCTTTGAAACCCTGCTTGAGCTCCAACCATACCTGGGTCACACACACGAGCCCAAGCAGGAACAGTAGCAGACACAACCCCATCGTCACAACAACTCTCATTTTCTTCATCACTGCAGGGTAGATATCTTGGATGGTGGTAGTGATGGTTTCTGCAGAACGAGGAGGGAACATAATTAGTGTCCGCAGCGGGAGATGAGAAGGGAAGCAGGGCCATCCCTTCATGGCTGCTACAAGGCCAGCTCCGTCCGGCTTCGTCTCCCTGCACCATGTCTAGATGGTTGTTATTTTGGAATGCATTTCAGTTGGTTTTTCAGTTTGCTTTTTTCATCTTTCCGTTCCCTTGCATGTCATTTAGACTGAATCTTGCAGAAAGAGGTGGCCTTTTTCTAACGACTGTGCAAAAGCTACTGAAGTAGGCCTCCTTCCATTCATTTAAATGTTATGAGATGCGTAAATGCAACGGCTCAAATACTGCAAGTCCTAATGAAACAGGCTGGCAGAATATGTGATGCTCCGTCGGCAGGGTGGGTAATCCAGACCTTTGCCTTTTGACAAAGACGAAGCATCCTTGCATTGAGAGGTGGGTTCCCTTTGCCTTAACCAATACTCACCTATGGTGGCAAACTGGGAATCGAGACCCAGAAGCAGAAGCATGAAGAAGAACAAAAAGGACCACAAAGGAGCCACCGGTAGCTGGGAAAGGGCTTCAGGATAGGCCACAAAGGCCAAGTCAAATCCTGCAGGGGAGAAAAACAAGGACACCATCAGGAGACGTTCTCTCTCAGTGAAACAGGCCAAGTGTGGCAATCTCGGTGGACAGCCAGGAGCCATCAGAGGTCGGTTACAGCAGCTTTCTGTGATGGTGGAAGGTGTCCTTCAGGTGTGTTTGGGTTCAGCTCTCACGCTCCAGCCGGTTTGGCAGAAATTGGAGGTGAACTTAGGAGAGCTGAAGCCCAACACAAACAGAAGACAGCTGGGTGGAGAAGATCACATTTAGCACAAGGATCTAAGTGTTACATCAAGCTTGGAGGGTAAAAAGAGTCATCCTGGATCACATCTGCTCCAGCTTCTAATTTCCCATTGTGGCCAGAAATGCACCCAAGCTGAGTATGATAGCAAACCCCATGCCGGCTGTTGAGTCTGGTGCAAATATTCAGTCTGATTGATTGGACAATTTGATTCAGGTTTCTGAGTACAATTTTAGCTGCAACTTGAAGGGTCAAAACCAATCAGAAGCTTCCAGATTTGTCTGGATAAGTCTGGACTCAGCTTGGAGATTCAGAAAGCAACTTTCTATTGTTTGCACACAGAGTCCAAAACAAAGCACAGCAGGCTTTTGGTTTTTTTTTTTTAAACTCATTTGAAAATCTGAAACAGCTTGAAATTCAGATAAAATCTAGCCTGATTTCGACTCCTCTACTGTGATCTCTCCCCCAATAACTGACACTCAAAAGGATCCCTTTTCTGGACCCCTGCAAAATCCCCTCGGTTTTCAGAGGCATCTTCAGGGAGGGTCATGGAGTGGGGGGGACCCATGAAGAAAGCAAAATTGTGGCATTGCAATGCAAGTGTTGTCCCTTGTGTGTGCATCCTGACTTTGGATGCGTATGAGAAAGGGGCAGGGCTTGTACTGTGATGCTGCTTTCACCGTGTGGCTCCTGCAGGACCCCCTGTGGCTTCTTCTCATCTTGGGTCGCCTTCCAGTTTGAGCTCAAGAGAGGCAAAGCGGCTCTTCCTCGTGGTGTGTGAATTCCACCCTTCATCTATTCCACCACGTTCGGTCTGTACCGCTTTAGGCCAGAGCTTACAATGCATTTGGCAGCCAAACGGGTCAAGCTCACCTGATTCCACAACCTGGGAAACATTCTTGCCTGCCTTGAACGCCATGTGCCCCAAGATGGAGAAGATTGCGAAGCCGGCAAAGACGCTGGTCAGGCAGTTGGTCACGCAGACAAAAATGGCATCGGCATAGCAATTATTATGGAATTTGTTGTAGGAGGAGAGGGCCACCAGCCCACCCCAGGCCACGGAGAGTGAGAAGAAGATCTGTGTTGCTGCATCTTTCCATACCTTGAAAAAAGAAGAGGAGGAAATATGGGATGTAGCTTCCGTAATCCCTTCTACTTAACCATGGATGTCTCTGTGTTACATAAGCAATTATAAATAAAATAATCATAGTTTGTTTTGATAGAGCTCTTTTCCTATTTGGTCATAACATTTAGCGTAGACCGTTAAGGTGTTAATTCTTACAGTAAGGCACTCGACTAGTAGAATATGCTCTGGATGATGCCATGCAGACATCCATATGGTTTTCTTGGGAAAAGCATGAAAGTTGTCTTCCATTATTTTATTCCAGGACTTTGTTTTGTTTTTCAACTTCCCAATCTAGCTTTCGGTACATAGACTTCCTTGTTGTCTCTCATCCAAGTATTACGCCAGCCTTAACCTGCTTAGCTTGTCTAAGGTCAGTTAAGTGCTGCCTCCTGGCAGGCCGGCCCTGTTTTTCTGAAATTGCATCCTAGGATGAGAGTGGAAGACCTTTGTGTATCTGTCTTTTGTAGGACTCACACAAACACAAATCCCTCAATGTCCTGTCCAGGTGCCTTCGGTCTGCCCTTCATGGGCTGAGTTGTACCCACCTCTGCCTCGGTCAGCTTGGTGAAATTGGACTGGACCCCGATGTAGTACTCAATGCCGTTGCGGGCACCTTCCAAGGTGGCTCCTCGCACCAACAATATGATCAGGACAACATAAGGGAAGATGGCTGTGAAGTAGACAACCTGCAAGGAAAAAGGGAATTCAGAAACAGGCCAGCCAGAAGCTTTGGGAAAGACCAGTGGTACTGTTCTGTTTTTCTTTAACATAAAGGGACCACAAGTGAGTTCCCAGATTCAGATACAGGCAGCACTGGAGGATCTGATCTTCACGGTGTGCTGCGGCATCTCTCTGGGTTCTTCGCCCACAACTCTTTGTCCCCAGATACAGCCTTCTCAACCAGGCCCTCCCAATGGGGCAGCTGCAGGGTGTGGGCGGGTGTCAAAATCTGCAAGATGCTGAGTGGGGCTTTGATTGCAGCGAGGGACCTGCCATCTTGCAGATTATGACTGCCCCTCTGGAGACACCCTGCCTGCTCTTTGACCCTTTCTTACTGGAGATCCACGGGATGCAACCTGAGATATTTCCAAGCAGGAGAGGGGCCCTGCCTCTCAGCTGTGTCTGCCACACAGATGTCCTGGGCACGAGCTTCTGTTTTGTGTCGTGACTGTGACAACATCAGCGTGCGCCATCTCCCTCCCTCTCTCTCTCATTCGCTCTCTCCCTAGACACTCCTAGAAATAATATTCTGCAGAAAACTAAGTCCTTTTAGTGAGCTTGGGATCTCCTCCAGAAAACATCCCTAGGTGACTATCCCGTAGCAAATTATTTCTACACACCCACAGAATTACCTCCCAAATTCCTTGCAGGGAGGACCCGAAAGTCACATTGAATTGCCCTTGACTTGACTACATCAAGGCTCTTTCTTTAGTGGGCCCGCCCTGCAGCGCCTCCAAAGTGGCCAGAACAGGAAGGGAGTTGGCACCTCTCCTGGCACTTTGGGGAATCCTTTGTGCTCTCGGAATGTCATGGAACCAGTTCCTTGCTCTCAGACCAAAGCCTTAGTTGCCCTACTGTAGCCACATGCCCAGCGCCCGTGCCTCCAGCCACCCTCCACTTTAGCTCGTGGGCGCTGTCAGCTTTCTTGGCACATGCTTTCTGAGGATCTTCTTCACCTCAAGGAAGTTGAGGAAATGAGCCTTAAATACCCACGTATTCCAACGCTGCTAGCTGCTGAAATGAGACTCCTGCAGCACGGCCAGCAGGAAGACATCAGAGGGCTCCGTTCTCATGCAATTACCTTTCCAGAAGACTTGATTCCTTTGAACAAGGACACTGCTACAATCAGCCAGGAAAGGAGAAGGCAAAGAGCGAGATACCACACGATCTCCCCGGTCTCGTCTAAGCCGTTCGACCGCTGGAGGACCTTTTTGCTGCAAGAAGAAAAGCATGAGGAAGGCTGTACGGCCTCTACCCGGACTGACGAAATCCAGCTGTCCCAGCTTGCTCTGTTTTTGTACCAGGATAGGCTTGGGGCGTGGTTGAGTCAGGGAGAAGTGCTGAAGGAGGGGTGGCCCTCCAGGTACTGCCAAACCACAGTCCCCAACATTCCTCAGCATTGGCCATGTTGGCTGGGACTCCCGGGAGCTGTGGTTCCCCACTGCTGGCCTAACAATGGACAGACGTTCAGGTTTAGTTCCAAAGACCCTTGCGCTTAGCACAAATGCTAGTTTAACCCTGGGTTGTAATCCTGCTCTGCTTCCCCGAATCTTCCCCATGGGGCATGGTGGTTAATTGCAGAGTCGCTTCTCATGCCTTTAAAATGGCTGTGGTGCAGGCCCCGTTTCTGGAGGCAGAGAAACCTCTCTCCAACTCACACATCTACCCACACATCTTTTCAGCGTCTCATACTGTCTCACTGCTCTTTGGCTTTGCGTAGTTAAGTCATCATCAGGGAAAGATGTGACGGCCCACACAAGTTATGGTGCAACTAACACTTCTGCAAATAGCCTCATGCTTCCTGTGTTATTGCATAAAGGACTTGCTCTGGGGAAGATAGCGTAGATGCGGAATCCTGGGTGAGGTACCTCCAGAGGGCAGATTGGTCCCTGAGCTTAAGCCAACGATGCCAACTCACTCAGAAAAGCCCCCCCCCCCCCCCCCCCCC